TAAGAGTTTATTGGAGGGAGATATGCTGTACCCTGACAGTGGGAGCAGTGACAAAGGAATCTTGCCCATCCACTCAGAAGGGGAACTTACATACTGCCATACTAGTGTCTGTTGTAACGTGGATGTGTAACCGATGTGATTCTGCAATCTGTATATGGGATAAAAATGGGAGTTCATAACCCACTTGAATCAAATGTATGAAATATGTCAAGAGCTTTGTAATGTTTTGAACAACTAATAATAAAAAAATAGAAAAAAAGAAGGGGAACTTAGCTTATATGTGCTTCTAAGTTATTTGCCTTTGGTGGGCTTTTTTCTTTTCTGTTAAACAAAGAGTGATTGACAGATTCCTGTGTCTTGCCTATAATGTTTATTCTGCATGTCCCAGAAAGCTTGTTCCTGGTTTACATTAGATGTATGAGATGCAAATAACATGTATGGTGCCTCAAACAGGGGCTTTCCCTATTGGGATATTCTAGAGCAATCTTGGATCTAAGTGCATGCTCCTCGGGATGGTCAGGCAATCATTTTGAAAAAAAAAAAAATGGATCTTGCTGTTTACACTTTGGGAAAGTTAGCTTCTTTGATCATGCAATGAAGCACGATGAGAGGGAGCTCTTAAACCTCATGTCAATTCTGCTGATAGAGGTGAGGTGGGACATAAGACAATAGTTTATTGGAGGCAGATATACTGTACCCTGACAGTGGGAGCAGTGACTCATTTCCCACACTAAACTGAGAGGTATATAAAAGGAAGTAATGAGAACTGAAAGTATCCACACAGCCCACTGTTCACATAAACCAGAGTTTATATGCCACTGGTTACATTAACATAACTATACTAATGCAGGAATCTCTTACCCAGGAAAGTAAAGTTCCCCAAAACTTCATTGTTCATTTCACCAGCTGCAGGAAAGGCCCATCACTCCACAAACAAAAGTGTCAAGTGACATTTTTTCACCCCAACATTCTTTCAAACTTGTGTTTCAAAAGCTGCATCTTCATTACAGAAACACTTGTGCTACATGTCCTCTTCAACATGTGGATGCTTAGAAAGTTGACCTCATAGAAGTGGAGAGGAGAACAGAGGTCAGCAGAGGCTGAGAGGAGAAGAAGGGAAGGTGACAGACAGAAGGTGGATATTGGCCACCAAAATACAGTTAGATAGAAGGGATACATTCCAGAGTACTATAACAGACTAGGGTGAGTATAGTTAACAATTGGCTGTGTATTTCAGAATTATTAGCAGATAGATTTTGAAACTTTCCCATACAAAGAATGGATAAATCATTGCGGTGAAGGAAATGCTATTTACCCTGATTTGATTATTACACATGATATACATACATACTGAAATATCATGTTATATCCCATAAACACACAAATAATAAGGGTCAATTACAAATAAATTAAAAACTCTGAGCTTCCCTGTGTCCAACAACCTTGAATCATTACATCACAATTCCTTCCCAATCCCAAACCCTTAAAAGATCCCCTCCTATGCTAGACTTCAAAATCCAAATGAATATCCTTTAAGCCTTTCCATCTCTTTGGTGCCACTTCCTCTGCTGAGGTACTCTGCTCCCTTATAGCACTGAGTGAAAACTTCAGCTTTGGCATATGCTACAAGTCATTGGGCTAATATTGGAGGATGATGCTCATCTGTATATGATGAGGTAGCCATTACTGCTGTATACCATGTGACAGTAGCCTTAACCTAGATGCTAAGACCAATATCTATGTATATTTCTGAATATCCTGGCTGAATGATGACAGATATAGTCAGAAATTTAAATGTACACATTTTACTCTCCTCAAAGACAACAAATCTGAATGCATTTATTATCTCAGTGTGGGAAAAAGACATTGAAATGATGAACCCCCTCCCACACACACACACACACACACACACACACACACAAGAAAAGAAGGAAAAGACAAAGCAGCAGCAACAGCAAGGAAAGAACTTTCTGTTCAAAATACATACAAAGATACATATGAAGGCCAGGCACTACAGCACATGTCTACAAACTTAGTGACAAAGGAGGCTAAGTCCAGAAAACTTCACTTTTCCAGGCCAGCTTTGCAACTTCCACGAACCCCTGTGACAAAAGGAAATATAAAAAGTGATGAGGATATTTCAGTGGTAGAGTGCCCCCATGTTCAATCTCTAGCAGGGTCAATTAAAAAAAAGAAAGAAAGCAAGAAAAAGAGGGCTGGAGTCCCAGCTAAGTGGTAGAGCACTTGCCTAGCACATGTGAGGCACTGGGTTTGATCCTCAGCACCACATAAAAATAAATAAAATATTGTGTCCATCTACAACTAAAAATAATGAAAAATAAAATAAAAAATGCGTATTAAAGCAAATCCCCAAAAAACAAATGCCAAATGTTTTCTCTGATAGAAGGAGGCTAATTCATAGTGGGGTAGGGAGCGGGGTCATGGGAGGAATAGACAAACTTTAGATAGGGCAGAGGGTTGGGAGGGGAAGGGAGGGAGCAGGGGATTAGCAAGGATGGTAGAATGTGATGGTCATCATTATCCAAAGTACATGTATGAAGACACAAATTGGTGTCAACATACTTTATATACAACTAGAGATATGAAAAATTGCGCTGTATATGTGTAATAAGAATTGTAATGAATTCTGCTGTCATTTATGTTTTAAAACTCAATAAAAAGAAAAAGAAAAGAAAAAGAATGAAAGAAAAAAAGAAGAAGACTTGATGATAAGGACCACTCAGGTTCCAAGTCTGACCTGAAAAGAAAGAAAGAAAGAAATACATATTAAGTTCCTTATTAAGTATTCCTTTTAAAGTGGGCCTTTCTGAAATACATCTTGTCCTAAAGATAAGCTAGCACTTTCTAATCTCAAAGTAGAAAAAGTAAGATCCAGCAAGGGAAACAAAATTTTTTTAAAAAAAGGTGTTGGGTGGTGGTTGCGTCAGAGTCACATTCTGCAAGACAGAATGTCTCTGCTGAGGCTGGAAAAAGCCCAGCCCCCCACTCAGGGAGCCTGACTCAGTGCGCATGCTCCCTGCTGTGTGTCAGTTACTGCACATGCGCTCTACTGCCTTCCTAGTGTTCCTAGAGCTATGCCAAGGCTGGTGGTGTCTTTCTTCTTTGGGTAGTATTCATTCTTTCTTGCTGATTGTAAGCAGGTGAGTCCTTAGGTCAGACTTGTAGAATTATGAGGAGGCACCAGCTGGCTTCCAGCACTGGAAGTGGGAGGGACCTGGAGGTCGTCATCCTTTTCAAAGGTGACACCATCTCCATGGGCATTTGCTATCCTGAAAGGGGCTGGGAAGACTTAGGTGGACTGTGGTGAGGTTGGCTACCTTTATAGCTGGGAGGAATGTTGGAGGTGGTGATGAAGTTATTGGAATCCTGGAGGTGTCTTCCAGACCCATAGGACACATTCCCAAGTCCCAAGTGGGGACTCTGGCGGGCAGCAGGTTGGGAAGTGAGGAATGGGCATGGAAACATGGGCACAATGTGGGATTGTGACTGCATCCCTTAGATGTGCAGAGCACCAGTGGGTGGCATAACTAGTGATCTTTATCTCAATATCTCACCTGTGCTCTCAATGGTACCAAAACGCCCATAAAGGCTTTGGGAGGGAATTAAGGAGAGTGTGCCTTCAAGAAAATTGTTATTTTAGGGACTAATGGACCTAGTTGTTGGGAGTGTGTCATAAGCAGTAGCCTCTTGAATTTTAATTCTCCAGGAGTATTTTCCTACATGTCTCCATGATGGGAAATCCACTTGTCCAAATGAACCTCATCCAAAATGTAGGATGTTGCCCTGTGCCTTAAGGCAATTTCTCTGCCAGCCTGGACAAAATAAAGGCTCTGCAAAACACTGGGGAAGAATGCAGAGATGCAATTATCCTGGGATTTACTTTGGAGAATAATTCTACATTTTAGAAAATTGGGCATTAACTCAGGGCTTTGGAAATAGTCACCTATGCCATCATATTAAATGTGTATTTCAAATCACATTATGTAGCTTTCAGTGTGAAATATGAAAAGACAAGGAAGACCAAACCCAAAATCTAGAGAGACAAAAGATGAACAAGAATCTTCTCAGCCTGCTGAGGCTGTGGTCGTGAGTGCTTTCATATTTGATGTTTTCTATTAACAGAAGCTCGTTTTTGAGAAATGTTGTTGATATTACAGCTAGACGGGTAATATATTTCCATGATGGTAAGGGATGATGGTTGGTGTCATAAAGGAGACTTTGATCCAGGAGGAGTCTGTTCTGCTGTGGCCTGGATGGATGCTCTTACATTCAAAGGAACTATGAGTGATGATTTCCTTCTGATGCTTACAATAGATCCCATGCATCCATGTCCATGTATATTCAAATCCCTTATAAAGTCACTGCAGTTAACTCCTGTGGGAATAACCTCAGCATGAGAAGACTAGCTTTGTTAACAAAAAGAAAAAAAAAAAGAATAAGAAGCTAGGCCTGACAGCACACACCTGTAATTCCAGTGACTTGGGAGGCTGAGGCAGGAGGATTGCAATTTGATGGCCAGCCTCAGCAAATTAGAGAGACCCTGTCTCAAAAATAAACAGGACCAGAGCGATAGCTCAGCGGAAAGCATACTCCATTACCAAAAGTAAATAGGTAGGTAAATAAATAAATACAGCAGAATCAGGTTGAAAAATGGTTTTTAGCCTTCATGTAGTTTGATATATATATCAATACCTTATGCATTTTTAAGTTGGTATTTGTATTATCAATAAAATTTTGTTTTGTTGATGTCAATACAAGTTTAGATTTTATTTCTGTTTAGATTTACACACATCTTCCAATAGGCTCAGCAGTCTGGTAATGAACCATCTGAAGAAGAGGAACCTCCAAGGGAAGGTCAGGATATGGCACCTGATCAGGAGAGAGGAAGTGGAGGACAGCCTGAAGCTCAAGGTGATGGGAAGGGCAAGAAAAACACCTGTGGGTAAGGTGCATGTGTGAATCATGACAGTAACACTGGAAAAGGATACAAGCATTTCTTGAAAGTTGATTAGGAAAGTGGAGAGCAGAGTTGGCAGGTTTGTACTTTTCCTTGCTATAAAGATTGTTGCTGTTTCCTTGGAGGCTTACTCTGTGTCTTAGAAGCCTTGCTATCCAGGGCTGGCTCTGCATTAGTAATTCCAAGGAAATGTTACTCCTAAGATTGTACATGATTTCTTAGTCATTGAATTAAAACTGGAAGCACCTTCTTACACTATCATGTGTAGGGAATCCCAAGTTAACATATCTAACATAATAACATAACAATAGCATAATGAAGCTTGTGTAGATGGGTATGTTAACTCATTTCCTGCTTTCAAAAACCAGGGCATAGATGTAGAGACTGATCAAGGAACATTTGCCTGGTGGAGACAGAGCCTTATCAACATAACATTTAGTATTTTCTCATGATCTATCCTTTTGTAAGAAAAAGTGAAGGGTTTTGCTTAAAATGCTTAATTCTTGGATATCTGTAGTGTCAAATCCCTCAGTACTGCGCTATAAAGGGATGAACAGTTGAAAGAGCAAGTCAATGAATGATAACCACTCTTTCTTTGATTAATGTTGTTTTACTGTATGATTGGTAAAAGCTGGATAATTCAATATACTGGCATACAGGTTGCTATACTAGTCTGTATGTAAGTACCTTTGATGGGTATTTGGATACTTTTAGGATTAGAAACAAAAATATCCAATGTTTCTATAGGTATTTATTCGTTGCATCCATGGGAGAAAGTCAGAAGTCTTCCATCTTGCTGATGTCACTCAAGAACATTTTCTTTTTTTTTTTTTTTACTAATATCATTTAATAGTCCCAGTAATTCTTTTTTATTTTCACCTTTTCTTTTTTAAGGGGCTGGCCTGGAAGTTAATCTCCTGGAACTGCTTCAGCCAAAGACTGGAGGTAAAAAAGGGGATGGTCTTGATGTCAGGGGGGAGTTTGTAACCAGTCTGGAACCCACTCTGGTACCAGAAGCAGGTATGTGATCCATGATGTTGCAAAATTATGTAGATTTGTTTTCCACAATATTTTGTCTTCATTAATGTAGAGATAACATTCCTACTACATTAAAAACACATTTCACACATACAGGTTCTTAAGCAAAGTGGTTAGACCTCAGATACCTGACTTTCACTTACAAAGACAAGCTAGGTCTAAACCATCAAGTAAGAAAGCAATTTCCAACTTTGAAGTATATGTCTCTTTAGCAACCAGTAGCGATTTTCAGATTGGTTTCATTACTTTTCTTTTTAACTCATACAGAATGTGGTTGAAATATCAGTTCCTACAAAACATGCTGATGTACTGAATAGACTCTCATACCAGACCTAACAAAATTGATGGGAATCTGAATGAATCCTTAACTTCTAAATTGATCCTTTTTGCACTTATGAAAAATAGTGAATTCAAATCATATATTAAAATCATCTCAACTGCTGATTATTGCACCCTCTGGTTCTGTTGGATAGAATGGGGAGGTGGTCTTTTTTTCATGATTCAGTTATCTTGAAATTTGCGTTTGAATGAAATTACACCATATGAATAGAGATTTCACTGCTTCTAAGCAAATGAGCATCCACTCTGCCTGACGTTTCCCTTTTTTAAAATTCTGTTTGGAGATCTGAATGTCTGTTCTCAGAGTCTGTCATATTCTGAATTAGATGTCTATTAGTAAATAATGGCATTTTCAGTCCTTCCCCCAATGAAGCCTGAAATGACAGAATAATAACAAGAGAACAGGCAGTCTAGTTTCTATTTCTGTGGCTCATGATACAGGAAGAATGAAAGGCGATCAGAGAGGGTCAAGGTAATTGTGAGGAAGATGCCTATGCTATACAAATACTTGTCCCCTTCTCATACTTGATGAAGTGATATTTCTGTTTCTTCTTCCATTCCTCCCTCTCTTCCTTCTTTTCTTCTATTCTACAACTGAATAAGATTTTTTTTTCTGTGTAGTACTGGGGATTAAAACCAAGATGCTCTACCACTGAGCTACAGCTCTGTCCTTTTTTATTTTTTATTATGAGACAAAGTCTCCCTAAACTGCCCAGGGTGGCTTTGAACTTGTGGTTCTCCTACCTCAGCCTCCAAATAGCTGCAAATACGTGTATGTGTCACCTTCCCTGATCACAAATTTATTCAGTTCACAAATATAAATATTCATTAGCACCTACTGCACAGAGCAGCCCGAATCCTTGCAAGGAATAGTGAAGGTGAGTCAGACATAAATCCTGCACTTAAGAGCCATGAAGTATAGGAAGGAAGGTCAGGCAGGAAAAAGAGTGAAAAACACCACAGGAATGACCCTGGTGAAGCTACAAGGAGGCAAAATAATTTCCAGCTTCAAAGGAAGAATTGGTTTTCTGACTGGAAGACTTCTGGCCTTTTATCTCTCTTTGATTCACTACAATGCAGACTTTTTAAAATTATAATTATCTGTGTCTATGACTTGTACAAAATAATGGGTTATGATTTGGCAGTTTCAAATGTGCATATAATGTAATTTTTCTACTGTGACAATGGACATTATATTATACCATCTTGTCTACCCATACCATATATTATATAGTACATGTTTTTACCTTGAGATGTTACTGGATAAATGTTGAAGTTCAAACACCATGGAGTATTGCTTTCTTTGTAGTCCACTTAAGTATGATTTATAAATGTGTTTTCCAAGTGGATGACCATAAGTTATGAGGGCTTCTGAATTTAATGAAGCACTTTGTATCAAGGGAAGAAATTACACTAGTTTTCTAAATGCTTTTCCTATGCAATGCTAAACCTTCCTATTTGACTATTTATGGTAGAAAATTGTTTTCTGACCACTTCCAGAAACCTAATGAACATGATTATAACACAGTCTTAGGAATATCATACTTTAAACGAATATGATGTTAAGATAAATGTCAAAGTATGTGATCATGCTATATACAAATATATGTAAGAGCAACAGGATAAACCTAATGGAAAGGAAAAGGGGTACTTAATGAAAGACCTGTATGAATGATAAAAGGAGCCAGTAATCCAACTAATAAATGACAAGATTGCTGGTGATCAAGGTCACAATTCAGATTTCATAATGTAAAAGACAGTGGAAAAATCCCAACAAGGAAAATGAGCAGGATACTAACAGATAGCAAATATATCATGTAATTTAAAGGGAATACATTCTTAAATTCTGATATTTTAAATATATGAATGAAATTGCTATGACACAAGAGCACACATTATTTAGGACACTCCAGTAGTACATGAATCTAAACATCACTAATATCTAGAAAAGCTGTTGCCATTCCAAAGCAATTATTAGATATAAATGTTTCCTTTTGAATTTATCTTACTCTCCCTCTCCCTCTCTTTCTCCAGTTTTCCTTTGTTTTCATTTAGTTTTTGATTGCCATACTATGAGACATGGCATATACCTTCTTCTCATTTGAATGTTAAAACTAATGGTCAGAGCTGAAAACTAATGTGACCATATAATTTATTTTTACAAAGTAGAGTGCTTTTGAATGTAAAAAAAAAGAGGTGCTATTCATATTCATGGATGTAGTATAGGTGAAAAATAAAGAATCATGGTCACCATCTTAGAAATCATCCAGGGGTAATCTAGCCAAAACCAACAGTTTTCCACAGACAAATGAAATACTTAAATTCCCTTTCACATCATGTATCCAGTTCCAAATGTGATATTAACTGTATATCCAAATTATTATTTCTATCTAAAACATTTTAATTATACTTTTTTTCTTAATTCATTTTATTTTTTGTGTTGCATAGATTTTTAGTAAAAATGTTCCAGATTTTTACTCTCTACTTAAAATTATCTTTGCTTTTGAAGATGAATTTATGTTTTATTAACTGTTTTTAAAAGTCAGTCTCTTGATTTTCTGTACCATTAGAAAGTATGGTGTGTTATAAGAATAGTGATAACATCCAAGACTATAAGTCTCTCTTCAAGGTCTCCACAGAGGTGTAACTGAATGTAAGCCAAACAGTGACACGCACGGATCTTGATTTGGTCTGTGTTACAGAACCAAATTTCTGGTGTTATTGATATGTTTTTAATACCCCATAAATCGAGTTCTGCTGATAATGTCCCCAACTGTTATGCTTATATTACAGGTGAAGGGCCACCTGAGGTATAAATGAAGACAAAGTGAAAACACTGCAGGCTGTTGTTGTATTGGATATTTGACTTCCAATTCTCCCAATAAAATTACAAATTTCTCTAAAGAGGTCTCACTTGCCTTGGCTTTTTCCTAGGTATTTGATACCATTGAAAACTGTATCAGTTTTGAAATTTTAAGTTCAAAGCAGAATGTACCACTGCTGGTGTGTACGCATGTCAGGGTCGTATGTTGATTTTCTTTCTGACAACCATGCTAGATATGCTTATTCCACATTTATCTCTCGGTCCTGTTTGATTTTCAGCATATGCCATCATATCATCTTTGAATACTGACAACCTATTTCTGCTATTTTGAACATTATCTTTTTCTGTATTACAACTCTGGAAAGACCCAACCCAGTCCCATGTTGAATATGTTGCATATTTGGTATTCTTCTCTTGTGCCTGATAGAAAGCGGGAAATTCAGATGTCTCACCATGCTGTCTGCTATTTGTATAGGTACACTTCATCAGCAGGCGTGCGGTTTCCAGCTGCTCAGTCGCAGGGGCAATGGGCTGGCTGTCGCTGGTGGGCGGGCGATCTCTAGCCACCCAGACACAGGGGCAATGGGCTGGCTGTCGCAGGCGGGCGTGCGGTCTCCAGCCACCCAGTCGCAGGGGTAATGGGCCGGCTGTTGCTGGTAGGCGGGCAATCTCTAGCTGCCCAGACGCGCAGTGGGTCAAAGGCGGGGGGAGGACTCCAGCCACCCAGTCTCGCGGGCAGCGGGTGGAGTTTATCCAGCTGCCCAGTCGCGAGGGCCTGGCCTCTATTCCCCTGGTTTCTCCTGCTAGTCCTGGTTTCTCCTGCTAGACTAGTTTTCCCCTGAGTGATGCCTCTCGGCAGTTCAAACTGTACTCTGGGCCTGCCGTTTGTTGGGTGTGGAGGGTGGCTATTGAAAACCCCCCGGCACTCTATTGTTTTGATTTTTTCAGCTTGCCCCTCCCCCCGCGCTGGCAATACAGGTTTCGTTTTCCCTGCTGATGGGAGGGGGAGTTGAAGGTCGGGTGTCTCTAGTTCTCCCCGCGTCTTTATGCAGGCTTGCTCTGATAATCCCTCCCCTGGAGAGCCTAGGAGAGATTTTTTGCCAATTCCCCGCTGTATGGGAGAGGAGCTGAGTAACACGCACCTGTTTTATTGTTGCAATCTGTGGGAGAGTGGCAGTGGTTACTTCAGCTCTCCAAGATGGTGGCCGCTGGTTTCCTTGGTGGAGTTTCTGTTGTGGGGGATAGAGCTGTCCCGCTTCCTTCCCCGTCTGAAATCCCGAACTCAGCCCGGGGCTCCGTGAGTGCTCAGGCGTCAGGATTCCACAGAATCTGCAGGAATCTCCCTGCTTGCTGGTCGCTTCTCTGCGGCTCCCCGCTGTCTGTAGCCGCGGGGTGTGCCGCGCGGATCAGTCAGCCCGGATCTCCGGTTGCACAGTTGGCTAGTGTATGAGACTCAATTACCGGACCTCGGTGCTGGAAATCCTTCCTCTAGGTTTCGGTGCACCCCCATTTTGCTGTAAGTTCCTAACAAGATAGTTTTTTGTTGTTCTAACTCGTTATTCACCCGCGCAGTGGGGACCGAGAGATAAATGTGGAATAAGCATATCTAGCATGGTTGTCAGAAAGAAAATCAACATACGACCCTGACATGCGTACACACCAGCAGTGGTACATTCTGCTTTGAACTTAAAATTTCAAAACTGATACAGTTTTCAATGGTATCAAATACCTAGGAAAAAGCCAAGGCAAGTGAGACCTCTTTAGAGAAATTTGTAATTTTATTGGGAGAATTGGAAGTCAAATATCCAATACAACAACAGCCTGCAGTGTTTTCACTTTGTCTTCATTTATACCTCAGGTGGCCCTTCACCTGTAATATAAGCATAACAGTTGGGGACATTATCAGCAGAACTCGATTTATGGGGTATTAAAAACATATCAATAACACCAGAAATTTGGTTCTGTAACACAGACCAAATCAAGATCCGTGCGTGTCACTGTTTGGCTTACATTCAGTTACACCTCTGTGGAGACCTTGAAGAGAGACTTATAGTCTTGGATGTTATCACTATTCTTATAACACACCATACTTTCTAATGGTACAGAAAATCAAGAGACTGACTTTTAAAAACAGTTAATAAAACATAAATTCATCTTCAAAAGCAAAGATAATTTTAAGTAGAGAGTAAAAATCTGGAACATTTTTACTAAAAATCTATGCAACACAAAAAATAAAATGAATTAAGAAAAAAAGTATAATTAAAATGTTTTAGATAGAAATAATAATTTGGATATACAGTTAATATCACATTTGGAACTGGATACATGATGTGAAAGGGAATTTAAGTATTTCATTTGTCTGTGGAAAACTGTTGGTTTTGGCTAGATTACCCCTGGATGATTTCTAAGATGGTGACCATGATTCTTTATTTTTCACCTATACTACATCCATGAATATGAATAGCACCTCTTTTTTTTTACATTCAAAAGCACTCTACTTTGTAAAAATAAATTATATGGTCACATTAGTTTTCAGCTCTGACCATTAGTTTTAACATTCAAATGAGAAGAAGGTATATGCCATGTCTCATAGTATGGCAATCAAAAACTAAATGAAAACAAAGGAAAACTGGAGAAAGAGAGGGAGAGGGAGAGTAAGATAAATTCAAAAGGAAACATTTATATCTAATAATTGCTTTGGAATGGCAACAGCTTTTCTAGATATTAGTGATGTTTAGATTCATGTACTACTGGAGTGTCCTAAATAATGTGTGCTCTTGTGTCATAGCAATTTCATTCATATATTTAAAATATCAGAATTTAAGAATGTATTCCCTTTAAATTACATGATATATTTGCTATCTGTTAGTATCCTGCTCATTTTCCTTGTTGGGATTTTTCCACTGTCTTTTACATTATGAAATCTGAATTGTGACCTTGATCACCAGCAATCTTGTCATTTATTAGTTGGATTACTGGCTCCTTTTATCATTCATACAGGTCTTTCATTAAGTACCCCTTTTCCTTTCCATTAGGTTTATCCTGTTGCTCTTACATATATTTGTATATAGCATGATCACATACTTTGACATTTATCTTAACATCATATTCGTTTAAAGTATGATATTCCTAAGACTGTGTTATAATCATGTTCATTAGGTTTCTGGAAGTGGTCAGAAAACAATTTTCTACCATAAATAGTCAAATAGGAAGGTTTAGCATTGCATAGGAAAAGCATTTAGAAAACTAGTGTAATTTCTTCCCTTGATACAAAGTGCTTCATTAAATTCAGAAGCCCTCATAACTTATGGTCATCCACTTGGAAAACACATTTATAAATCATACTTAAGTGGACTACAAAGAAAGCAATACTCCATGGTGTTTGAACTTCAACATTTATCCAGTAACATCTCAAGGTAAAAACATGTACTATATAATATATGGTATGGGTAGACAAGATGGTATAATATAATGTCCATTGTCACAGTAGAAAAATTACATTATATGCACATTTGAAACTGCCAAATCATAACCCATTATTTTGTACAAGTCATAGACACAGATAATTATAATTTTAAAAAGTCTGCATTGTAGTGAATCAAAGAGAGATAAAAGGCCAGAAGTCTTCCAGTCAGAAAACCAATTCTTCCTTTGAAGCTGGAAATTATTTTGCCTCCTTGTAGCTTCACCAGGGTCATTCCTGTGGTGTTTTTCACTCTTTTTCCTGCCTGACCTTCCTTCCTATACTTCATGGCTCTTAAGTGCAGGATTTATGTCTGACTCACCTTCACTATTCCTTGCAAGGATTCGGGCTGCTCTGTGCAGTAGGTGCTAATGAATATTTATATTTGTGAACTGAATAAATTTGTGATCAGGGAAGGTGACACATACACGTATTTGCAGCTATTTGGAGGCTGAGGTAGGAGAACCACAAGTTCAAAGCCACCCTGGGCAGTTTAGGGAGACTTTGTCTCATAATAAAAAATAAAAAAGGACAGAGCTGTAGCTCAGTGGTAGAGCATCTTGGTTTTAATCCCCAGTACTACACAGAAAAAAAAATCTTATTCAGTTGTAGAATAGAAGAAAAGAAGGAAGAGAGGGAGGAATGGAAGAAGAAACAGAAATATCACTTCATCAAGTATGAGAAGGGGACAAGTATTTGTATAGCATAGGCATCTTCCTCACAATTACCTTGACCCTCTCTGATCGCCTTTCATTCTTCCTGTATCATGAGCCACAGAAATAGAAACTAGACTGCCTGTTCTCTTGTTATTATTCTGTCATTTCAGGCTTCATTGGGGGAAGGACTGAAAATGCCATTATTTACTAATAGACATCTAATTCAGAATATGACAGACTCTGAGAACAGACATTCAGATCTCCAAACAGAATTTTAAAAAAGGGAAACGTCAGGCAGAGTGGATGCTCATTTGCTTAGAAGCAGTGAAATCTCTATTCATATGGTGTAATTTCATTCAAACGCAAATTTCAAGATAACTGAATCATGAAAAAAAGACCACCTCCCCATTCTATCCAACAGAACCAGAGGGTGCAATAATCAGCAGTTGAGATGATTTTAATATATGATTTGAATTCACTATTTTTCATAAGTGCAAAAAGGATCAATTTAGAAGTTAAGGATTCATTCAGATTCCCATCAATTTTGTTAGGTCTGGTATGAGAGTCTATTCAGTACATCAGCATGTTTTGTAGGAACTGATATTTCAACCACATTCTGTATGAGTTAAAAAGAAAAGTAATGAAACCAATCTGAAAATCGCTACTGGTTGCTAAAGAGACATATACTTCAAAGTTGGAAATTGCTTTCTTACTTGATGGTTTAGACCTAGCTTGTCTTTGTAAGTGAAAGTCAGGTATCTGAGGTCTAACCACTTTGCTTAAGAACCTGTATGTGTGAAATGTGTTTTTAATGTAGTAGGAATGTTATCTCTACATTAATGAAGACAAAATATTGTGGAAAACAAATCTACATAATTTTGCAACATCATGGATCACATACCTGCTTCTGGTACCAGAGTGGGTTCCAGACTGGTTACAAACTCCCCCCTGACATCAAGACCATCCCCTTTTTTACCTCCAGTCTTTGGCTGAAGCAGTTCCAGGAGATTAACTTCCAGGCCAGCCCCTTAAAAAAGAAAAGGTGAAAATAAAAAAGAATTACTGGGACTATTAAATGATATTAGTAAAAAAAAAAAAAAAGAAAATGTTCTTGAGTGACATCAGCAAGATGGAAGACTTCTGACTTTCTCCCATGGATGCAACGAATAAATACCTATAGAAACATTGGATATTTTTGTTTCTAATCCTAAAAGTATCCAAATACCCATCAAAGGTACTTACATACAGACTAGTATAGCAACCTGTATGCCAGTATATTGAATTATCCAGCTTTTACCAATCATACAGTAAAACAACATTAATCAAAGAAAGAGTGGTTATCATTCATTGACTTGCTCTTTCAACTGTTCATCCCTTTATAGCGCAGTACTGAGGGATTTGACACTACAGATATCCAAGAATTAAGCATTTTAAGCAAAACCCTTCACTTTTTCTTACAAAAGGATAGATCATGAGAAAATACTAAATGTTATGTTGATAAGGCTCTGTCTCCACCAGGCAAATGTTCCTTGATCAGTCTCTACATCTATGCCCTGGTTTTTGAAAGCAGGAAATGAGTTAACATACCCATCTACACAAGCTTCATTATGCTATTGTTATGTTATTATGTTAGATATGTTAACTTGGGATTCCCTACACATGATAGTGTAAGAAGGTGCTTCCAGTTTTAATTCAATGACTAAGAAATCATGTACAATCTTAGGAGTAACATTTCCTTGGAATTACTAATGCAGAGCCAGCCCTGGATAGCAAGGCTTCTAAGACACAGAGTAAGCCTCCAAGGAAACAGCAACAATCTTTATAGCAAGGAAAAGTACAAACCTGCCAACTCTGCTCTCCACTTTCCTAATCAACTTTCAAGAAATGCTTGTATCCTTTTCCAGTGTTACTGTCATGATTCACACATGCACCTTACCCACAGGTGTTTTTCTTGCCCTTCCCATCACCTTGAGCTTCAGGCTGTCCTCCACTTCCTCTCTCCTGATCAGGTGCCATATCCTGACCTTCCCTTGGAGGTTCCTCTTCTTCAGATGGTTCATTACCAGACTGCTGAGCCTATTGGAAGATGTGTGTAAATCTAAACAGAAATAAAATCTAAACTTGTATTGACATCAACAAAACAAAATTTTATTGATAATACAAATACCAACTTAAAAATGCATAAGGTATTGATATATATATCAAACTACATGAAGGCTAAAAACCATTTTTCAACCTGATTCTGCTGTATTTATTTATTTACCTACCTATTTACTTTTGGTAATGGAGTATGCTTTCCGCTGAGCTATCGCTCTGGTCCTGTTTATTTTTGAGACAGGGTCTCTCTAATTTGCTGAGGCTGGCCATCAAATTGCAATCCTCCTGCCTCAGCCTCCCAAGTCACTGGAATTACAGGTGTGTGCTGTCAGGCCTAGCTTCTTATTCTTTTTTTTTTTCTTTTTGTTAACAAAGCTAGTCTTCTCATGCTGAGGTTATTCCCACAGGAGTTAACTGCAGTGACTTTATAAGGGATTTGAATATACATGGACATGGATGCATGGGATCTATTGTAAGCATCAGAAGGAAATCATCACTCATAGTTCCTTTGAATGTAAGAGCATCCATCCAGGCCACAGCAGAACAGACTCCTCCTGGATCAAAGTCTCCTTTATGACACCAACCATCATCCCTTACCATCATGGAAATATATTACCCGTCTAGCTGTAATATCAACAACATTTCTCAAAAACGAGCTTCTGTTAATAGAAAACATCAAATATGAAAGCACTCACGACCACAGCCTCAGCAGGCTGAGAAGATTCTTGTTCATCTTTTGTCTCTCTAGATTTTGGGTTTGGTCTTCCTTGTCTTTTCATATTTCACACTGAAAGCTACATAATGTGATTTGAAATACACATTTAATATGATGGCATAGGTGACTATTTCCAAAGCCCTGAGTTAATGCCCAATTTTCTAAAATGTAGAATTATTCTCCAAAGTAAATCCCAGGATAATTGCATCTCTGCATTCTTCCCCAGTGTTTTGCAGAGCCTTTATTTTGTCCAGGCTGGCAGAGAAATTGCCTTAAGGCACAGGGCAACATCCTACATTTTGGATGAGGTTCATTTGGACAAGTGGATTTCCCATCATGGAGACATGTAGGAAAATACTCCTGGAGAATTAAAATTCAAGAGGCTACTGCTTATGACACACTCCCAACAACTAGGTCCATTAGTCCCTAAAATAACAATTTTCTTGAAGGCACACTCTCCTTAATTCCCTCCCAAAGCCTTTATGGGCGTTTTGGTACCATTGAGAGCACAGGTGAGATATTGAGATAAAGATCACTAGTTATGCCACCCACTGGTGCTCTGCACATCTAAGGGATGCAGTCACAATCCCACATTGTGCCCATGTTTCCATGCCCATTCCTCACTTCCCAACCTGCTGCCCGCCAGAGTCCCCACTTGGGACTTGGGAATGTGTCCTATGGGTCTGGAAGACACCTCCAGGATTCCAATAACTTCATCACCACCTCCAACATTCCTCCCAGCTATAAAGGTAGCCAACCTCACCACAGTCCACCTAAGTCTTCCCAGCCCCTTTCAGGATAGCAAATGCCCATGGAGATGGTGTCACCTTTGAAAAGGATGACGACCTCCAGGTCCCTCCCACTTCCAGTGCTGGAAGCCAGCTGGTGCCTCCTCATAATTCTACAAGTCTGACCTAAGGACTCACCTGCTTACAATCAGCAAGAAAGAATGAATACTACCCAAAGAAGAAAGACACCACCAGCCTTGGCATAGCTCTAGGAACACTAGGAAGGCAGTAGAGCGCATGTGCAGTAACTGACACACAGCAGGGAGCATGCGCACTGAGTCAGGCTCCCTGAGTGGGGGGCTGGGCTTTTTCCAGCCTCAGCAGAGACATTCTGTCTTGCAGAATGTGACTCTGACGCAACCACCACCCAACACCTTTTTTTAAAAAAATTTTGTTTCCCTTGCTGGATCTTACTTTTTCTACTTTGAGATTAGAAAGTGCTAGCTTATCTTTAGGACAAGATGTATTTCAGAAAGGCCCACTTTAAAAGGAATACTTAATAAGGAACTTAATATGTATTTCTTTCTTTCTTTCTTTTCAGGTCAGACTTGGAACCTGAGTGGTCCTTATCATCAAGTCTTCTTCTTTTTTTCTTTCATTCTTTTTCTTTTCTTTTTCTTTTTATTGAGTTTTAAAACATAAATGACAGCAGAATTCATTACAATTCTTATTACACATATACAGCGCAATTTTTCATATCTCTAGTTGTATATAAAGTATGTTGACACCAATTTGTGTCTTCATACATGTACTTTGGATAATGATGACCATCACATTCTACCATCCTTGCTAATCCCCTGCTCCCTCCCTTCCCCTCCCAACCCTCTGCCCTATCTAAAGTTTGTCTATTCCTCCCATGACCCCGCTCCCTACCCCACTATGAATTAGCCTCCTTCTATCAGAGAAAACATTTGGCATTTGTTTTTTGGGGATTTGCTTTAATACGCATTTTTTATTTTATTTTTCATTATTTTTAGTTGTAGATGGACACAATATTTTATTTATTTTTATGTGGTGCTGAGGATCAAACCCAGTGCCTCACATGTGCTAGGCAAGTGCTCTACCACTTAGCTGGGACTCCAGCCCTCTTTTTCTTGCTTTCTTTCTTTTTTTTAATTGACCCTGCTAGAGATTGAACATGGGGGCACTCTACCACTGAAATATCCTCATCACTTTTTATATTTCCTTTTGTCACAGGGGTTCGTGGAAGTTGCAAAGCTGGCCTGGAAAAGTGAAGTTTTCTGGACTTAGCCTCCTTTGTCACTAAGTTTGTAGACATGTGCTGTAGTGCCTGGCCTTCATATGTATCTTTGTATGTATTTTGAACAGAAAGTTCTTTCCTTGCTGTTGCTGCTGCTTTGTCTTTTCCTTCTTTTCTTGTGTGTGTGTGTGTGTGTGTGTGTGTGTGTGTGGGAGGGGGTTCATCATTTCAATGTCTTTTTCCCACACTGAGATAATAAATGCATTCAGATTTGTTGTCTTTGAGGAGAGTAAAATGTGTACATTTAAATTTCTGACTATATCTGTCATCATTCAGCCAGGATATTCAGAAATATACATAGATATTGGTCTTAGCATCTAGGTTAAGGCTACTGTCACATGGTATACAGCAGTAATGGCTACCTCATCATATACAGATGAGCATCATCCTCCAATATTAGCCCAATGACTTGTAGCATATGCCAAAGCTGAAGTTTTCACTCAGTGCTATAAGGGAGCAGAGTACCTCAGCAGAGGAAGTGGCACCAAAGAGATGGAAAGGCTTAAAGGATATTCATTTGGATTTTGAAGTCTAGCATAGGAGGGGATCTTTTAAGGGTTTGGGATTGGGAAGGAATTGTGATGTAATGATTCAAGGTTGTTGGACACAGGGAAGCTCAGAGTTTTTAATTTATTTGTAATTGACCCTTATTATTTGTGTGTTTATGGGATATAACATGATATTTCAGTATGTATGTATATCATGTGTAATAATCAAATCAGGGTAAATAGCATTTCCTTCACCGCAATGATTTATCCATTCTTTGTATGGGAAAGTTTCAAAATCTATCTGCTAATAATTCTGAAATACACAGCCAATTGTTAACTATACTCACCCTAGTCTGTTATAGTACTCTGGAATGTATCCCTTCTATCTAACTGTATTTTGGTGGCCAATATCCACCTTCTGTCTGTCACCTTCCCTTCTTCTCCTCTCAGCCTCTGCTGACCTCTGTTCTCCTCTCCACTTCTATGAGGTCAACTTTCTAAGCATCCACATGTTGAAGAGGACATGTAGCACAAGTGTTTCTGTAATGAAGATGCAGCTTTTGAAACACAAGTTTGAAAGAATGTTGGGGTGAAAAAATGTCACTTGACACTTTTGTTTGTGGAGTGATGGGCCTTTCCTGCAGCTGGTGAAATGAACAATGAAGTTTTGGGGAACTTTACTTTCCTGGGTAAGAGATTCCTGCATTAGTATAGTTATGTTAATGTAACCAGTGGCATATAAACTCTGGTTTATGTGAACAGTGGGCTGTGTGGATACTTTCAGTTCTCATTACTTCCTTTTATATACCTCTCAGTTTAGTGTGGGAAATGAGTCACTGCTCCCACTGTCAGGGTACAGTATATCTGCCTCCAATAAACTATTGTCTTATGTCCCACCTCACCTCTATCAGCAGAATTGACATGAGGTTTAAGAGCTCCCTCTCATCGTGCTTCATTGCATGATCAAAGAAGCTAACTTTCCCAAAGTGTAAACAGCAAGATCCATTTTTTTTTTTTTCAAAATGATTGCCTGACCATCCCGAGGAGCATGCACTTAGATCCAAGATTGCTCTAGAATATCCCAATAGGGAAAGCCCCTGTTTGAGGCACCATACATGTTATTTGCATCTCATACATCTAATGTAAACCAGGAACAAGCTTTCTGGGACATGCAGAATAAACATTATAGGCAAGACACAGGAATCTGTCAATCACTCTTTGTTTAACAGAAAAGAAAAAAGCCCACCAAAGGCAAATAACTTAGAAGCACATATAAGCTAAGTTCCCCTTCTTTTTTTCTATTTTTTTATTATTAGTTGTTCAAAACATTACAAAGCTCTTGACATATTTCATACATTTGATTCAAGTGGGTTATGAACTCCCATTTTTATCCCATATACAGATTGCAGAATCACATCGGTTACACATCCACGTTACAACAGACACTAGTATGGCAGTATGTAAGTTCCCCTTCTGAGTGGATGGGCAAGATTCCTTTGTCACTGCTCCCACTGTCAGGGTACAGCATATCTCCCTCCAATAAACTCTTAACTACTTTCTGTTATCTTGATGAATTCTTCTCATGCTTTCCATCTCATCCCTTTCCTGCACTGGGCATCTTCTGAACGTCCCATGACAGAAAATAGTTCATGAAAGGTAAAGAGAAGAAGGGGACCCTGATTAGCAGAAAGCTTTCTGTTAGTAAGTTAGGATACAGTGTTGCAGTGGCTTCTATACCTTCCATGTGACTGGGCTTCTCTTAAGAAATATACTGAGCAGAAAGAAGAAATTTCTCAGTCTTTGTCTTTCCTTAATCAGTACCATGAATAGGCATATGGTTCTGTAAAATTTTAAAAATTATACACACACACACACACACACATATACCCCACACACAATGAGAGCAGTCATTATCTCATTATCTCATGACAATATTTAGCTTATCTTTTATCTTGTTTGGTCATTCTCAGCAAGGTATTATCATTACCAATGTTTATTCCTTTTTTTTCCATTCTTCATTCTAGTTTTTAATGTAGTACACTGCAAAGCACTCAACCAATGGGAGATGCTAAGTCCCAGATTTAGACTTTCAACAAGCAGCTACTTAGCAAATAGTCAAATATTTGCTATCAGATAGCTGGAGGTTGTGCGTCCTGAGGATTTGTGTTTGATGAGCTGTGAATGGCTTTATGGCAGCTTATAAGGGCAGGCTTCAACTGATGCCCATCTCTAGCTTCCTGTCTCCATTATTGTGAGAGATTATCCCTGAACAACCAGAAGTGTTCGAAGGACTGTAATTAGATTTGGATGTGAAAAGTTGTGAAACAGTTCTGGTGAAACATTGGAAACAGCAAAATGTATGGAATACCTTGTAGAGACAAGAATTTCCTGATGCATGATCCTAAGGACTCTCTCAAGGATGTTAAGTCAGGATTGTGGGCAGGAATCCATGGCAGCACCTCTACCGGAGGTATGCCTCAATTCCTCACATGACCAATATTCCCCATCTTCTAGGCAAGGATTCTATACACAAATTTAGCTTAACATAGGACCCAGGGATGCAGGAAGGTCAGAAAATGTCTACAGATTCTGGGTCACTGTCAAAAGAGTGCTGTAATCCACACCACCTAATCTCATACTGGTGTCTGATATTTATTCATCTATTCCCTACCATGTTAAATACAATTCTCATGAATTAGGAGCACACTAAGATGACGGAGGTACCCTCAGTACAGCAGAGTAATGCATGACATTAACGTACACTTCAGCCCAAGCACAGCCTCCATATGATGCTGAGAACACAAGAAACCACCTGTCAGCCCTTTTGCCTGTCAGTTCCTGTCTCTCCATGTGATGCTTACCATGTTCAAGACAGACACTACTATCTGCAGATAAATCTTACAGGAAGTATTGGGGATTATGTTTTGTGGCAACCCTGCAGGACCCATATCAAGGATAGCCTTTTAGTGTGAAAACACTTGAGTGCAAAGGAGGACTACAAAATTGGGTTTTCATGTGTATGTAAGAATAATTTTATAGCCCAATATATTCACCATTGAGGGTGTCCATGATCCATTATACTGTTTTCCAATGTGTAGATTCTAATCAATTTTGTAAATCTTAAAACAGAATATATTATGAAGTAGAATATATATGGAAATCTTTTACATTCTTCTTATGTTGACCAATATAAATAAAAATATATGCATCATAAAAGAACATTTATCTGTAAAGTTACAAGTGAATATTTACCCAAATGAAACACATCATTTATATTTAAAGAGTTTTTTCATGTAGCTTCTGAAGAAATTTCAAAATGCAGAGTCTTAGAAAATAAAAACATCTCATCAAGGGGTAATGTATAAAATAGCCAATTTCACTATACCATTTGACTGATATCCAGGGAATATCAAAAGTTTCCTAAAAAGATCAAATGTTTGTTCATTTGATAGAGAAAATTTTATCTCAATGTCTCAATGCTTGCTTTTTCATTTTTAAATTAGTGGAATTTCTAATAATGTTCCTATAGTTTTGTGATTTGAACTTTAGTGATGGGAGCTGATTTTCATCTTAATTTTGTTTATTTATCCTTTTATTTTCATGATGATTTAAAGTGTTTCTCTTCAAAATTTCATTGAGAGTATGTGTATAAAAAATTACCCATTAGTTTTATTGTATGAGGAATATTTTCCCCAAGTATATATTTTCCAAGGATTTTGATGAGTTTTAAATTTTTTCTCTCTTTTAAAAAATTTAACTGTTTAATAGCAATTGCATATATTGATGGGGTACAATGTGCCATTTTGTTATATGTATGTGATTAAAGAAATAAGGAGATCATAAAAGAAATGGTAGACAAATAACCAATTGTTTACTTTGGAGTGTTCAATTTGTGGATGATTTTTATTTTATTCTTCCATATTTTATAATTTTCTGTACAGAGCATCCATTGCTTTTTTACTCAGAAAAGAAACAGACATTATTTTACATCAAAAGGCAACATTAGGAGGTTTTCAAGATGGAGGAATAGAGGGGGTTGCTTTCCTGGCTGTTCTGTGGAGTGAAACCAAAAAAGAAGACAGGCAGCTTCTCAGCAATTTGAGTGAACAAAAAAGTGGAGGAACTTTACTGGAATTTAAAACTGAACATTCAAAGCAGGTCCTGAACTCAAGAAATAGGATATAATAAAATAAGGAAGAAATCCCCAGTGGCACAGCCATTGCCAGGGCCAGGCCAGGAGCACCAGCCAGAATGGTCCCTCCATGAGCACAGTGGAGGGATAAGGGAATTAAAGGAACTCAAATTTTTTAGAGGATCTAGGTGTGTTTAGAGATCAAGGACATTGTCCAGCAAACCTGAAAGATTTGTATAATATCTGTATGTGGGAAAAGGAGCCACCGTCTCTCCAGGTGGCCTGTGGAAGACAAAGGAAAGAACCATTTTGCAGCAACTCTGCAGGGTTTGGCAGTTGAGGGGCCCAATTCCTGGCAAACCTGAGTTAGGCCTGAAATACAGGCCCAGTAATCACATACTGCATGGCATAGAGTGTGCTCAAGTGACCAGGAGAAAATCAAACATGTAGAGTCATGGAAATCCACCCAGTTCTACACCTCCCTCTCCAATCTGACTGCTTATAGGACCCTGCTGGGAGAGATGCATCTGCCCAGGAATGCAGAAGGGTGGGTATGGGAGAGATTGTTTGGAGACTGAACCTGAGACCAGGAAACATGGGGTCTGAAGGTGATATAGAGGACTAAAAGTTGGATCCCCCACCAAATGAGTGGAACCCAGGGGTGACCCCTAGGTACAGTCATCCAGTGTGGACCAGCAAGTACTGGGAACTTGAGGTGTGCTGATTTAAAATCTCCAGACAAATTGCCATTCAGCCAAGGGCCTGGAGACCACCTAAGCCCAAACCCTGCCTCCAGGAACTCCACCTCTCTTACTCCAGCAATCCAGAGAGTGGAGCATCACACTCTAGAAGACCCTAAAATTACTGAGAAGATAAACTGAGAATCTTTTGAACTCCAATGGAAATAATTATTTAACTTTTCATAAAGCTCTTTTTTCAAATTTCTTTTTCTCAGTTGATTGTGACCTTAATGGTACAAGAACATTTGTACATATTCATATTTGAGTTTTTTCTCAGTTCTAGCATCTTTGAAGCCAGATACTTTTCATTGATTAGTTTTTTGGGTTTTTTTTTTTTTGTGAACTAGGAGGTCTGATTAGTGTATTTTAGTTTTTTTTTTATATTCTTGTATTTTTATTTTTAATTTTTTAAAAAATTATATTTTATACATTGTTTTCTTACCTGTTTCCCTTGTTTTCTCTTTTCTTCTGCTAACCATCAATCTTTATTGTTCTCTTTCACTATTCCTTTAATTTTTACCTCTTTTCTTACTTCTACCTTCATAATCATTACATCTTATATCACTTCTGTTCTCTCCCTGTCTACCATTTGAAATTATACACCCTTTTGCAAACTTGCTGTTTTTTTTTGTAGGCAATGACTGATCTTATCATTTATGTTTATTGTGATTATTAACACTGTAGACATAATAGTAGGTAGGAACTATTTGGTTTAATTGTATACTGTTTGCATTGGTTGTTGTTATTATTTGTCTTTCCCTAAACAGTGAGTTACTGGAAAACTTCAGGAACACTGTAAGTTCACAGGGTAGAAACTCTACTGCTTCAGAATTACATTGTTAGATTGGTAAACACACAAACAACATGAAAAAGCAAGGGAACAAATTGCCCCAAACAAACCAAGATACTCCAATAATAGAATTCATTGACACCACAGAGGAAGAAATGACAGAGAATAAGTTTAGAGTGTATGTAGTTAAAACTGATCTGCAAAGTAAAGGATGGTATAAGTAATGAAATCAGATGAATGTATAAAGAAATATTATAAATATAATGGAATATTACTTAGCATTAAAAGAGAATAAAATTATGGCATTTGTAGGTAAATGGATGGAGTTGGAGAATATCATGCTAAATGAAGTAAGCCAATCCCCCCCCCCTAAAAAAAAAAAAGGTTGAATGTTTCTCTCTGATAAGTGGATGTTGATCCATAATGTGTGGAGTGGGCATGGGAAGAATGGAGGAACTTTGAATTGGGCAAAGGGGAGGGGGCAGGGAAGGGGACATGGGGGTAGGTAAGATGGTGGAATGAAACAGACAGCATTACCCTACATATGTGTATGTTTGCATAAATAGTGAGACTATGTATCATGTACAACCAGAGAAATGATTAGTTGTGTTCCATTTGTGTACAATTAAATGAAGTATATTCTGCTGTTATGTATAACTAACTAGAAAAAATTTTAAAAAGAAAAAATTTTAAAAAGAAAAAAGAAAAGAATACAGAGAGAAATACAGGAAATGAAAGATCAATAAAGAGGCAGAGTTCTGAAAAAAAAAAAGCGGAAATACTCAAAATGAAAGAAATGATGAACCAAATTAAAAATTTATTTTTTAAATTTTTTTATTGTTGGTTGTTCAAAACATTACATAGTTCTTGATATATCATATTTCACACTTTGATTCAAGTGGGTTATGAACTCCCATTTTTACCCCATATACAGATTGCAGAATCACATCAGTTACACATCCATTGATTTACATATTGCCATACTAGTGTCTGTTGTGTTCTGCTGCCTTTCCTGTCCTCTACTATCCCCCCTCCCCTCCCCTCCCCTCCCCTCTTCTCTCTCTACCCCCTCTACTGTCATTCATTTCTCCCCCTTGTATTATTTTTCCCTTTCCCCTCACTTCCTCTTGTATGTACTTTTGTATAACCCTGAGGGTCTCCTTCCATTTCCATGCAATTTCCCCTTCTCTCTCCCTTTCCCTCCCACCTCTCATCCCTGTTTAATGTTAATCTTCTTCTCATGCTCTTCGTCCCTACTCTGATCTTAGTTACTCTCCTTATATCAAAGAAGACATTTGGCATTTGTTTTTTAGGGATTGGCTAGCTTCACTTAGCATAATCTGCTCTAATGCCATCAGATGATCATCTGCAGTCTCAAGGAAGACATTAGACTGCAAAATCAGATGCTTGATCCATTTTGAGTTAACTTTTGTGCATGGCGAGAGAAAGGGATTCAGTTTCATTTTGTTGCATATGGATTTCCAGTTTTCCCAGCACCATTTGTTGAAGATGCTATCCTTCCTCCATTGCATGCTTTTAGCCCCTTTATCAAATATAAGATAGTTGTAGTTTTGTGGATTGGTTTCTGTGTCCTCTATTCTGTACCATTGGTCCACCCGCCTGTTTTGGTACCAGTACCATGCTGTTTTTGTTACTATTGCTCTGTAGTATAGTTTGAAGTCTGGTATCGCTATACCGCCTGATTCACACTTCCTGCTTAGCATTGTTTTTGCTATTCTGGGTCTTTTATTTTTCCATATGAATTTCATAATTGCTTTCTCTATTTCTACAAGAAATGCCGTTGGGATTTTGATTGGCATTGCATTAAACCTATAGAGAACTTTTGGTAATATCGCCATTTTGATGATGTTAGTTCTGCCTATCCATGAACAGGGTATATTTTTCCATCTTCTAAGATCTTCTTCTATTTCTCTCTTTAGGGTTCTGTAGTTTTCATTGTATAAGTCTTTCACCTCTTTTGTTAGGTTGATTCCCAAGTATTTTATTTTTTTTTGAAGATATTATGAATGGAGTGGTTGTCCTCATTTCCATTTCAGAGGATTTGTCGCTGATATACAGGAATGCCTTTGATTTATGCGTGTTGATTTTATATCCTGCCACTTTGCTGAATTCATTTATTAGCTCTAATAGTTTCTTTGTAGACCCTTTTGGGTCTGCTAGGTATAGAATCATGTCACCTGCAAATAGTGATAATTTAAGTTCTTCTTTTCCTATTTTGATGCCTTTAATTTCTTTCGTCTGTCTAATTGCTCTGGCCAGTGTTTCGAGAACTATGTTGAACAGAAGTGGTGAGAGAGGGCATCCCTGTCTTGTTCCAGATTTTAGAGGGAATGCCTTCAATTTTTCTCCATTCAGAATGATGCTAGCCTGAGGCTTAGCATAGATTGCTTTTACAATATTGAGGTATGTTCCTGTTATCCCTAGTTTTTCTAGAGTTTTGAACATAAAGGGATGCTGTACTTTGTCGAATGCTTTTTCCGCATCTATTGAGATGATCATATGGTTCTTATTTTTAAGTCTATTGATGTGGTGAATAACATTTATTGATTTCCGTATGTTGAACCAGCCTTGCATCCCAGGGATGAATCCTACTTGATCACGGTGCACAATTTTTTTGATATGTTTTTGTATCCGATTCGCCAGAATTTTATTGAGGATTTTTGCATCTAGGTTCATTAGAGATATTGGTCTGCAGTTTTCTTTCTTTGAAGTGTCTTTGTCTGGTTTAGGTATCAGGGTGATGTTGGCCTCGTAGAATGAATTTGGAAGTTCTCCCTCTTTTTCTATTTCCTGAAATAGCTTGAAAAGTATTGGTATTAGTTCCTCTTTAAAGGTTTTGTAAAACTCTGCTGTATACCCATCCGGTCCTGGGCTTTTCTTAGTTGGTAGTCTTTTGATGGTTTCTTCTATTTCCTCAATTGATATTGGTCTGTTTAGGTTGTCTATATCCTCCTGACTCAATCTGGGCAGATCATATGACTTAAGAAATTTATCGATGCCTTCACTATCTTCTAATTTATTGGAGTATAAGGATTCAAAATAATTTTTGATTATCTTCTGTATTTCTGAAGTGTCTGTTGTGATATTGCCTCTTTCATCCCGTATGTTAGTAATTTGAGTTCTCTCTCTTCTTCTCTTCGCTAGCATGGCTAAGGGTCTGTCAATTTTGTTTATTTTTTC